TTGAAATGGTCCTTTGGGATTCCACAGCCAGTGGGGGACAATGCTTGTGGTGAAACAGATGTTGATTATACTATATTAATACATTTTTCTATTTTGTTTATCTTTGTCTTTATTTTTTCTTTAGCTCTTCCAATACATTTCTTACATTCTTTAAAGCTTTCAGAGAGGTTATGTTTTTCTATTTATTTGTGTTTCTTGCTTATCTTTTGTCAAAAATTTGGCACTTTAACATTGCGATGTATTAGTCCTTACAAATGAGATTGTTCTCCTTTTACAAAAATTATAAGGTTTTGGTTTCAAAGTGCTAGTATGCTTTTGTTTAGGAACTTTACTGAAGTACTTGCTATATAATTTATTTCTTGCCAAACATAGGAACTGATGTTTCTGTTCTTTTAGCTGTGAACGGTTGAAATAAATTTTCTCAATGTCCAGGAGCTCAAACAACAGCAATAATAGCAGTAAACTAAACAAAGATATAAAGGAATGAAGCTTTTGTGTCAGTCTTTCTGAAAGTCCCACAGCGATTAAAACACACACACTGGTTAGCATGTAAAGTCTGCTCTGTTATAACAAGGGACTCAAGTCCCATAAAGGGGACTAAAGCTGCTGCTGCCACTGGAAAATGACCACAAGGGTGGGACTGGGCAACGAAAAGGGGGAAGAGGTCCTCACAAGAGACCTGATGTGTTTGTTTTCTCTCTGTTCAGCAGCAGTTGCTGAAGTATTTGTTCTTTTCCAGGGTCCTAACAACATTGGTTCTGACAAATTCTGCTTGTTTTTGATGTTTCAGTAAGGGAACATTTAGCATTATTTGACATTTTTCTGGACTCACTGTGTATTGTTCTTTAAATTTATCCTTTTATTTATATAACTTTTCTATATTTTTATCTCTCTTTTAATGAATGCTCAAAATTTCCTGAAGATGCTTTCTTTTCTCTGGTGGTGTCAATACTAGATAACCTACGTCTATATCAGAACCTACCCTCAAATGAAAATATTTAAATATAGTTTTTACCCATTCTGAGAAGATATTAAAATATTTGTATGCTTTACTTATTCATTCATCACTATTGAGCTCTTACATTTTAAAGAATTTGTAATGTTGGTTAGTTTTTACTTAATGCAGCATAAAATTAGTGTATTTAAAAAATAATTTTTAGGGGAATCTTAACTGTATACAGCAATGTTTTATTTTGGTTTCACCACCACTATTCACCAGTGTTCAATATTCATATCTAAAGCATGCCTTTAGTTTGTTTCTAAATGTAACTTACCATGAGCTGACACTTAGTTCCAGGACCTTCTCACAGTTTTAAGTAAGAGAAAGTTTTCCTGTCTTCTGTCTCCACTTCAGTGGAACCATAGAAACTGCATGATTACTGTTCATGAAATGTATGTTATTTTATGTTCACAGCCAGTGATATACAAGTGATGCCACCACCCCTTTCCCATTCATTTCTATTCCTAAATGTCTATTACTGTGAAGGAGTCCTTCTTGTTTTATCACCTTATTTACTCCAGATCTAACAAGTTTTACTCAACAAAATATATTGTACCCAAATAATTTGGAAATATTCTGGAAGAAACTTAAGGTGAGCTGGTACAGCCTTGGTGAATTTCTAAGAAGTCTATATGCTGAAACTTTTAAACTTATTCCACCAAGAAACCTTTCAAAAACTATGGAAAATACTGAGAAGGAACTTGACTACACAGTTTCTGCTGCCATCTTTCTGAAGTAGAACAGCATATGGGCTCTCTCCTGTTGTGTTCTGTGAATGCCTCTATGCATGGACCTTGCTGAGACTCAGAACTTTATTTCCATTTTTTTCTCCAGATTTAACTTTTGCATGAGAATTGAGAGCCTGAAAAAATTTTAAATTAAAGATTTAGGCGTTCAGCATTATCCTTTCTGTATAATTTCCCCAGGAGACTTTCTTGCTTGGTCATTCTTATTCTTGGTAGTAATTGCTCTATGTGGAATATAGGGTTTCCCAGGTCCCAATCTGAGCCTGGTACAGTAACAAATATCAGTGTTTTCTGGCTCTGGAAATAAGCACTTGCATTCCAAATTTGTTCTTGTGTTCCAGGGGTTCACTTCCAGAATATCATATTTCTAGAAAGCTCATTTTTTAGCATCATCTTCTTAGGAAACAAACTAGAAGAGTGAAAAGCAAATTTTCAGAGGAGATGAAATAGTGACTACATTTTTTCTTTTCCCTATCTGCGTGTAATATAAATTCTCCATGCAGAGAATAAATATACATAATAATATATTGTATGCCATTTCTCCATGCAGTTTCTGTAATTGCTCGTGACAGCCTCCCTTATAACACCCCATATAATAATTCACAACTGTGGTTTAGATCTAATGCTTCTCCCAAACGTCTTGTGTGCAGAGTTGGGACTGAGAAGGTAACTGGATCTCAGGTCCACTGTACCCATCAGTGGGTTTGTGCATTTGTGAGTTCATAGCAGACTGTGCTGTTCTGAGGTGGGGCCTGGTCTGAAGAGCTAGTCAGAGCAGTGGAGTCCTGGAAGGTTGTGCTCTTGTCTCTCCTCCCCCCTCCTCCTCTCTACTTCCTGCCAGCATGCAGCCAGCAGCTTTCCCCACTCATGAAGTTTCTACCTTGGAGCCAGAAGACGAATCCTTCAAAACTGTAAGCAAAAGTAAACTTTAAATTGCGTCAGGTACTGTGTCCAGTTAGTGAAAGAGTAATACTTCAACTATCTTTTATGCCACCTCCTGTAAGTTTTTCTGTTTCTGAATAACATTTTAAATTGACTATGAGGATTAGATTTGAAATGAATAATGCTTTTATAATTTTGAGGAATGTACTTTCAGATATAGGACAGTGATGAAACAGAAAAACAAAAAGGTTATTGTCCTACTTTTTTGTAATTTCCTTCCGACTTGTAATTTTCTTAAATTCTTTCCAATTACACCAATGAGGAGTTAAAGATCTGAATCCCTCCTAATGTAATTTGGATACATGCCTGCTGCTTAACACTACTGACACAGTTATTTATTTATGTGCATGTAACGAACTTGTTCTCACTCCTGAATCTGAATTTGTCTATTCTTTTCAAAAACGTTAGATAATTAAACTTTACACAAGTGAAAATATATGGGTTTTAAAAGTCAGGAGGTGGTAAGTCATGATGCTCATGCCATCTATTTTCCTGGTGCATGTGAGTAAATAGAACTGGATTGGGTTACCTCATGAAAACCACATAATGTGGTTTAATAACCACATAATGAGAAAAGAAGTTCACATAATTACATTTTAAAAACCTGGCTTGATATAATTTTTAAGGACATTAAAATTTGCCTGAATAACTGGGTGGCATACATTAAGGAAAATCATATCTCCTCTGAAATTTAGTTTTAATGAAGATTGATAAGGATAGGGTTGTATTGCTATACATATCATACATTCTATACATGTAATTGCTATAGAAAAATTTTAATTTTTTTGTTTTAGTGGAAAGAAACCATAAGGTAAAAAGCAATTTAACAGAAAGAGTAAGCCACCAACTTACCCCAAAATGAAGATTTAGTGACTATACTCTTCAAAATTATCCCTGCATACTAGAAATATCAAGAAAGGCAAAGTAAAGGAAATGTCTTTGCCCAAAATGGCTTGCTTTTTATTTTAAGACACTTGGCATGCTCATGAAATAGGTCTTTACATAAACTGATATACAATTACAAGTAAAGTAATTCAGGATGGAAGAAGAGAAGTATTTGTAGTATGTTTTTGAATTCTTAGAAGAGGATACTTTGTAAATAAATATTAAATGGTAAATAAAATTTGATAAGTAAAAGAAATTAAATAGTTATATGAAGGAAGAAACAGAATTGATGAAGAATTTGAACAAGATGTCAGAATTATATGTTTGCAGAATAGAAAAGGGTCAATATGGCTATAAGAAATTACAAATGAAGATAATTCTGAAAACAGAAAGGAAAACCAAAATTGTTCAGAGCCTGAATTAAATGATGAGGTTTGTTAAATTGGCATTTTAGGAAATAACTTTTTCATAAACATCCTATTTTTGTATGATTCTGACAACTGTATAAAGGCAGGTAAAGAATAGTAAATACCAAAATGTAGTAAACACCTACAATATTCAGCTGCCTAGGATGACATCAACAAAAGTTTCTCATAACAAATGAAGGAGTCAAATGGACTTACCCTGCTACTATAATATATGAGATAATTCTTTGGAGGAAGGGAAGGGGAAATGAGAAGAATAAAGATGTGTCATCCACAGGATCCTAATAACTCCAATCAACATGAACATTGCCATTACAGAACTACGACACATAATACAACAACAAATACACAAAAGTGGTAGGAGAATCAGAGGATGAGGAGGAGAAGGAGGGAAGGTGATTAGAAAAAAACAAACAAGCTTTATATGTACATGTAATTACTCTACAACATTACTGTAAGCTGCATGAATTGTAAACAAGTATGAATAAAATAAAATGAAATTAAAAAATATGAAGTTATAATAAGAAAAATAATTTAAACTTGAAAAATATATCTAATATCATTTAGGAACTTTACTATTGACAGCTGATAGAATAGCTACACCAAAAATGTCTGTTGACAACACCTTCCTGTTTTTTCTTTTACTTATAATCTTGTAAGATCCTTTTAAGGAAAAGTATGCATTTCCAGAAAAAAATGGGAAACAATGTGGAAGAACTCAATGTCATTATCAGTCACTTCTTGCATGGTCTGTTTGATGCTATCATACTGTCAAACAGTTCTTTTTAAGTTGTGTAAACTTTACTTTCCTCCTGGAGACATACAAGCTTCTTGATCTTTCTCCTTTTCCCTCTTTCTCTCCCCTCTCAACTCTCTGGTCCCCATATACAACACACTGCCACTCTCCACCTCTGGTTTCCCAAGTGCACTAGTGATTCTAATTGCATGCCACCATGTGTCAGCCTTATTTTTATACTCATCTCTCCTTTTCAGGAGTAGAGGATGCAGATCATTAATGAGACTGTAGGAGGTGATTTTATACTGGTGGGCTTCTCTGATCAGCCACAGCTTGAGAAGATCCTCTTCGTGGGTGTGCTGATCTCCTACTTCCTGACATTGGTGGGCAACACAGCCATCATCCTGGTCTCCTGTCTGGACTCCATGCTTCATACACCCATGTACTATTTTCTCACCAATCTCTCCTTGGTTGACCTCTGCTTTACCACCAGCATTGTTCCCCAGCTGCTGTGGAACCTTCATGGTCCAGCCAAGACCATTACTGCTGTGGGCTGTGCCATTCAGCTATACGTGTCTCTGGCTCTGGGATCCACTGAATGTGTTCTCCTGGCTGTCATGGCATTTGACCGCTATGCAGCTGTTTGCTGGCCACTCCATTACACCACAGTTATGCACTCACGACTTTGCTGGTCCCTTGCAGGAATGGCATGGTTGAGTGGAGTGGGCAACACCTTGATTCAGGGCACCATTACCCTTCAGCTGCCCCGCTGTGGGAACCACAGAATTTACCACTTCATCTGTGAAGTTCCTGCCATGATCAAGCTGGCCTGTGTGGACGTGCATGCCAATGAGGTCCAGCTCTTCCTGGCTTCTTTGGTGCTGCTCCTCCTCCCCCTGGCCCTCATCCTGATCTCCTATGGGTACATTGTCCAAGCAGTGGCAAGGGTCAGGTCAGTGCAAGCCTGGCGTAAAGTGCTTGGAACGTGTGGGTCCCACCTGTTGGTGGTGTCTCTCTTCTATGGCACCATCACAGCTGTGTACATCCAGCCCAACAGCTCCTATGCATACAGTGAAGGGAAGTTCATCACCCTTCTGTACACTGTGGTGACACCTACTCTCAACCCCCTCATTTACACTCTGAGAAACAAAGATGTGCAGGGAGCTTTGAGGAGGCTGGTTAGTAAACACGGCAGCATAGGACCTTGAGAAACTTCCATGAAGGAAAGATGCAACCTGCCTGAGGTGGAAATGCCTGTAGACAGGCACTAGGAGGCAATACTGGAAAGTGGCTGGCAAAACAGTGCAAGACTAAATTCATGAGACTCTTTGGAGAATGTACAAGCAATTGAAATTCTTTCTTTTATTTGGTTGCTTATTGTACTCAGAGACATCCTATCTAGACTGATATCTTTGTGAACACCCAGCCAGATTGTCCGTAAAGTGCAAACAAAACATTCTAATTCCAAATGTCTGCAATAAATTTAATATTTTCTCTTTTATAAATCCTTTTGCTTTATTAGATGATATATGCTATTAATATCTTTTTCATAAAGTCAAGACTGTGCTATTTATTTGCTAGGCATTTTGAGTTGCACTATATAAGTTTAATCCTGCAAGTCCAGTGAGAAGTTGATTATCTGCCTGGGTCCTCTCCTTGGACCAACAGAAAATGCCCCACAGGTGGACCTGGGCTGTGCTGTGCTCCTGGGTCCTACACTCACACTCCCTCTGTGGCTTTGATCAGTCCTTGGGTGATTTTTTAAATTGTTTTTTACATTCTGCTTTGATTCTCTGTCATATTAGCTTTTCATTGAAATTTTGTTTACCTATAGCAGATTACATTTATCTTAGTTGTGGATATGAGTTTTGATTTGTACATTTAGATAATCAGGTGATTTCTGTCAGGTGATGGATCTCACTATTCCAATCCCTGCCAGGTGCAAAATAACCGAGGATTAAAATCTAATCTAATCTTCTTGGTGAGGAGGGAGTGTGTGTGCACTGTGCATGCTTATTTGAGGATTACAATATTTACATCAATTACATTTCCTCATAGCAGATGCAGGATGGAAAAGTTCTTAGTATGTTGTTTTTTTGATGTTTGATGAAATTTTCTGTGTGTATTTTGTGTTTGCACCAACATGAACCTTCCTAATTCTGAAGATCAAAAATATGTCCTTCTCATCCCTCTGAATTTAAATTATAGGCCTAAGAATTTCAACATCTGCAAAAGGAAATTAATATACAACTCTCCTGCAAATATTTTTGGCTTTAATAAAATTGTGCACTTAAAAGGTGAAGATTCTTGAAATTAAATGAAACTAAATCACTAGCTGCTCATACTCATTGATTGGTTTACTAAAACCTTTCAGTGATTAAGTGATTTGAAATCAGTTTCTTCAGGACTCTTTAAATAGGATAAGTTAAGTGAAGGAAAAAAAAACCTTAAGACACTGCAAATTGGACAAATTAATTTAGCAAAATGAGAATTAAATAAAATTTAATATTCCAAACATTAAGCACCTTAATCAGTGAATGAAAAGTAGATGGAAAATAATACCAGTATGTTATAGTTGTATGGAGATTTCTATCCTAACAGAAAGTTTACCCAATTTTTATCTTTACTTTTTAATCTGTTACTCAAATAGAAAATAATCAATTAATAATATAAAATGTCTACTTGTTTACAAAAGTTGGTCAGAATAACTCCTGAGGGATATTCTCCCAATTATATTTACATTTGCCTAGTTTACAGTACCAAAACAGGAACATATATTTCTTTTTTTTTTATTTTATTGAGTTTATTGGTACATTTTAGGGATACAGTATAGTTACATTCATTGTTGGGATCATGTACC